CCTGAAGCTTCCTCTTCCCCAGGGGGATGCGAGGGACCAGAAGGCAGGCGTCCTGCTGGAGCTGAACAAGGCCCTTGTCTCCACTGAGGATACCCGTTTAGTCTCATTTCCAAAACCAATAAAAGAATTTTTCTGTAATGGTTTTGAAGTGTTGTCTTGTTTGTCAGGGGGTGTCGTGGGATTCTCTTCCCCATTTCCTCATTATATCTGGGGCCCAATGCCTGGGGTGGGTCTTTGGGAAGACATGGCGTGGGGCCTTGTGATGTCACAGGAATTGGGAACATAATATTTCTCCATGTATGTGTGAGGGAGTGAGCTAGGCATTGTGCGTTCCCTGTCTGAGCTCAAAATACTGGTATGTGCTTCAAACACTTAGGGTGATTCTCTTCCCCATTTCCTCATTATATCTGGGGCCCAATGCCTGGGGTGGGTCTTTGGGAAGACATGGCGTGGGGCCTTGTGATGTCACAGGAATTGGGAACATAATATTTCTCCATGTATGTGTGAGGGAGTGAGCTAGGCATTGTGCGTTCCCTGTCTGAGCTCAAAATACTGGTATGTGCTTCAAACACTTAGGGTTTTTTATCTTAGTGAGCTCCTTATAGTATCTTTCTCATGGGAAGGGCAAGGAAAAAAAGGCCAAAAAGAGGCACAAAAAAACCCAACCCCCCAAATTCTGAGTCCCTAAGAGTTCAGTTTCCACCCTCAGACAACAAATGAGTAAGCAAGAAAGTATCCTATGCAGGTTTTCAGTGTCCAGGGATGAAGAAATGACTTGATCCAGTTGTCAGTAAATTGGTTTTGTTTGAGATGTCTGCCAATGGAAAAGGAACTCTCATTGGGGTTACAGCACATAAGAAGTTTACATGAACTCTCTCCCTTTAAACATTTCTAACTTTAAGCACACTTATAACCTTACTGTTAAAGTGTTGTGCCAACTCTCAGTACACTAGAATTTTCACTGGGTTCAGAGAATGCCCCACAGGCCATTCATTGCAAGGTTGTTTTTGTTGTTATTGTTGTTAATGTCTTGGTTGCCTGGGGGGGGCAAGAATTATTGGACTTCGTATACACTAGATTTTTGTATTATTTTCCTTTTCTCTTCTTTTCTCTCTCGATAAAAATAGCCTTCCTAAACTGTTATCTTTTGCAAAATTGTCATTCATATTTTTAAAATTCTGATTGTTCTCCTGTGTTCAACGCACATTTTGCAACACACCTTTAAACCTAGTCTAAACCCAACACCTGCTGAGTGACATCCCATTCCTGCACAACGTACGGCAGAGGCAGAATTCCTTAAGGATTAGTTTTGCAGAGTGATGGTGTGAAGCTTTCCCCATTCTTGAAATCAAATCATCCAGGACGGTGTGGACAGCAGCTATCGGGTTAGTGGGCAAAACTCCAAATGAGTCCAGGGATTGTTTCTGAGAGCAGAATCCATTGGCAGTGGAGAATTGAGATCTGAACAAATCTGGGGACAGATACTAGTAGCCAAGCTCTGTTGTGTTTATGGACTTCCCCTGCCCCACAGGTCTGACATAAAAGGCAGGACCAGCAGCTTTCTAATACCTGTGGGCTGGGCATTGTGTGTGAGCTGCTAGATATGGTATCTATTATGAGAGGCAGGCTATAAATAATGAGGAAAATTAATGGCTGAGATCCTGTTGCATAGCTCCTCATGTACAATGATGATGTCAGCAGCAGCAGGGAATCATCACTGGTTAATGGCAAATCACTGCTGACTAAAAGTGATTTTTGTGGTCACATGTCCCAAGCACAGTGCAAGTCATGTGCACCCCCAAACCCTTCAATTGGTTATAATTTGTCACTGCTGGTGACATCTTCATCATTGTGCATGCAGAGCTACACAACAGGATTTCAGCCCATAAATCATAAATAAATGTGCCGTACTAAGTTAACTGTTTTTCCATTTTGTCGATCTGTTTTCACTTGGAGTGCATGAGGCCCTCCTATTGTGGAAAATGAAGCCCTTTTTGGAGATTGGAAAAATCTCCAGAGAAAGCAGATGCTCATTCTTTCAAATAAATGCAATATTATCTTTGGAACAGAAAGTGCTGTTATATTAGCTATAAATGCTAAGCTTTGTTATTATGTTGGCAAAGTGCACGTATTAAATATTGTCTTATTTATCTTTTCCCTCATGATTTCACACTCCACACTTTCTTCTTTTACAGGATTTTTTTGCACTGGAAAATCCAACTTTACATCTTTTAGTAATGATGTCTTTTCTCCATTTTCTTTAATCTCCTTTTTTATTTGCAACTTCTGTTATAAAGACAATTTACAAGCAATATTCCAAAATAGGGCCTCTAACAAATTTACTTAGGTTTTTAAAGGGAACATCACAACACTGGATACACCGCCTATCCTTGAGCAAGCAAACAAAAAATATATATTTATTGGGGGGGAAAATACTGTTTGAGTGCAAAAAAAAAACCCTTTGAGCCAAATGTTTTGTTTTGGATAATGATATTTAACAGAATGAATAAGCACCAGTGCCAAATAATCATTTGGGTGCAATATCCTTGCCCTCATTTGACCTTAATAGACTTCAGTTCTACACCACTGATGCACTCTCATCATAATAATTAAAGCAATTCAAAATAGCACTGAAGAGGAGGGCAACAGAAATGGGTACAGGTTTGTTCCACTTGGCCTATCTAATCTTTAAATATCGCACTTCTTCCTCTTTTGACAGCAGTGGGGGCGGGGCATAATACACTACCTAACAAGATGTCAGAGTTATTGGATCCAGGCTGAGCTTATATGGGGTCACATGGCAACTTTTTGGCTTATTCTTCCTGTCACCTCAAGCACCCTAAGATAGTCCTCTATAGAGTTGTTGTTGTTGTTAGATAAAAACATTGCCTGGTATTATATAACAAATACAAACTTTAACCAAAAAACAAAGTTATTTGTTAAATACTATATCAGTATTTCCTAATATTGCCATTTTTCAGCTCTGATTGTGTTACTTCAGAGATCTGCAGCAACCACTATCACCACCACCACCACAACAACACAAAGATCTGGCAATTGAATCATCTCTTTTGTGGATGAAGCACACTTCAGTGGTTCCCTTAGTCATTAGGGCTTTGGGAACAATATCAAGAAATTTCACACAGTATTATAAGCAGTTGCAGATCTCGGAAATAACACCATCAGAGCTACAAAAAGTGGCAATACAGTACTAGGAACAGCATACATACCGCGCTGATACAGTATTTAACAAGTAACTTTGTTTTTTTGTTAAAGCTTGTATTTGTTATATAATACCAGGCAATGTTTTTATCTAACAACAACAACAACAACTCTATAGAGGACTATCTTAGGGTGCTTGAGGTGACAGGAAGAATAAGCCAAAGTCATAACCTTTCGTAACTTTTGCTAGTTCATGCCAGAAACTTAATGCAATTTTAACAGCACAGGATTAGATTTTCTTTCTAAGAAGAAAAAGGCCAAGGATTAAATTATTGTATCTTCTATTATGCTTGCAGGCACCATTTGTTCAACTGAAAACACCTTCCATTAAAGGGCAGAGGTGGTGGAAGAGCAGGAAATCTTGTTACCCCTTAAAAGTTTGATGCCTCCCACCCATTAGAGTGCTTTCCTTGGAAGACTGCCCTCATATTTTCTTTGTCTATATATTTCAAACTTCCAGAAATGCTGAGATAGATAAACTCAGGCTTTTAACTCTTAAAGACACTTCATTTATATGGTCATGCTATGTCCCCTTGCCACTAAGCGTGTCCCAGTCTTGTGCCTCAGAAATTGTGTCAAACTTGCCTGGCTAACTAGAGATAGAGGAAGCATTCTAATCAAATTTTAAGGCCACAATACTTTTTACTCTTACTTAAGATTGTGCTTCAATTTTATAACCCACCCCAACTTCCCTTGACGCAAATCCTTTTGAATTCGGTGGATTTGTTTCTCAACAAATATGAAGCTTAGATCGGATTAATTTTAGTGAGACTAACTCCTCCTGAGTAAAATAAAGAAAGCCATCCAGCTTTTCCTAGTTCCCTGTCCCAAGGCACTTACAATCTGTAATACAACGTGAGAAGGGGAAAGGGCATTTTCAAACCTTCTAGCTTCTTCTGTAATGTGAAATGTGCTCTCATAAAATATGAGAATAGACATATACTGTACATAATACATTAATAATTAACTGCTCTTTGGGTTTTTGGTTAAAACTTGTATTTTTATATAACACCAGTCAAAGCCTGTGTCTTGTATCTTTCACAAGAATAACAATAAACTGCAATTGTTATTATGCCTTTATTGAAATGTGTGGTGCAACCATATTTGGGATGCTGTGTACTGTTCTGAGTAATAATAGTTATGATGCACCATTGAAACTGATTCTGACTTACGACAGCTCTTTCAGGTGTAAACAGGTGTTCTACTGCTATATACATTAATGTACAACTTTGGCAAGGCTGTGAGACCAATTTTGATGAAGGAGAAAGAACAACCTATCAACTAACCAGAAGTGGCTAGAACATTTATTTCCAGTTTTGAGAAATGAGCGCGGGTGCTAAATTTTAGGGGGCTATGAACTATGTACAGTAAAAGGTAAACTGCCACTTCTAAAGGCTTTCAGGTTGGCTACCTGAGGCCTCAGGGCTGCCCACCCCTGTATTAATGTCACTAAATCAACTATTCTAGCAGGAAATTTTCTATTACATTACCTTCTAGCCAAAGGATAAGTCTCGCTGAAGATTCATCCTTTGGCCTGAATAATAGTACTCTATTCTTCCCTGAAACACCCCTCAGCTAGAAGTGATGCATGTAAACGTGCAGACACACTCATGCGCCACTAACCAAGGGTGTATTTAGCACCTTCTCCAAGCATTGATAAGTATCTTATTGCAAAAAAAAGCACCAAACTATTTCTTCCATTGCTTCTCATTGTGGAATCTTTGGACAACTAACTAGCAAACTATTTTAAGAAAGTATCCATTGACAAGGCACTAATATTTTTTAAAGAAAAATATATATTCACTTTTCTTATACTATAGTATGAATATTCCAGAGATGCATACATAATTCCAAAATATTCTTGAAATCTGGAAGCAGTAAATAAAAGTATTGCATAGAATCAGGCCAAGTAATGGAAATGATAGGAAAATTGTTCATTTTTCTTTATATGTGTGTGTGTTCGGAGGGTATCTGTTATTTCTGAGCCAGTACCACTTGTGATAGTCAGAGACATGAAAGGAAATGTAAAAGCAAAGGAACTAATTTTTCAATCCTCCCTGTAAAAATTAACAGGAGCGTTTTTGTTTGAGAAAAACAAAGAGACATAAAGATTTTAATGCTTAAACCCACATAAAAAGATTACTGTCCAAGGTCTGGAAGAGTTTGAAGTAATGGTGAAACTCTAAATATATAACCACTGAAGCTAAAGTGAGAATAATGTGGACTGTTCCATTTATTTAAAAATGTATGCACAGGAGATTACAATAAGCTTCACCAGGTAGGGAAAAGTGCAGTTTGAAATTAAAATGTATATACTGTAATGTGACAAATCTGTAGTGGTTGGGTGAATGGAAGCCAACAGGAAGCCAAGAAAAGGTTCAAAACAATTTGAACCTCACAAGAACTGAGGCTTCCCTTCAATGAGAGCCATCCAGGTAACTCAGTAAAACAGATAAGTTGAAGGATCTGGACAGATATAGCAAATGCACACAAGGTACGGTCCACATTTGGAGTTCACTACTGCTGGCTAGTGGAAAATTACATACCCAATACAGTGCTTTTTATGTGTTTTGGACTACTGTACATTACCCA